TGGGGATTCGAACCCACCACCTTAGGTGTACGTGGCTGGCGCCTTAGCCGGTTGAGCTATAGGCGCCGAGCCAACCTAAGCACTTCATTATGGTTTGTGGTCCATTCATTTCCCTCTTGTTACCTCCCTTTAAAACTTTTTATCTTGAAAAATTTCAGGCATACACAAGGAGTGGAGAAAATGTTAATAGCAAATACTCATGTACCCCTCAACCAGCTTCAAGAATTCAATCAATACTCTTCTAATCTTGTTTAATATCTTTCCCTTACTTTTTTTACGGTGTTTAAAAGTAAATACTAGACATCCTATACATCATTACCTATATACTTAAAGATATAGCTAACAGACAAAGGGGTTTTTTAATTTGTTTGTTTGTTTGTTTTTTGTGAGACAGTCTCAAGCTGTTGCTCTGAGTAGAGTACCATAACATCACAGCTCACAGCAACCTCAAACTCTTGGGCTTAGGTGATTCTCTTGCCTCAGCCTCCCAAGTAGCTTAGGACTACAGGCACCCGCCACAAACACTCCACTATTTTTTGGTTGCAGTTGTCGTTGTTGCTTAGCAGACCCGGGCCAGGTTCGAACCTGCTACCTTAGGTGTATGTGGCTGGTGTCCTTACTGACTGAGCTACGGGCACTGCCAATAAAGGCGTTTTTAAACCATAACCATAGTGTTGTATCTGCTTGAGCTCCTACAAAAAAATACCATAGACTTGGTAACCTAAACAATACACATTTATTTCTTATAGTTGTAGAGGCTGGGAAGTCCAAAATCAGGGTACTGCCAGATTGGTTTCTGATGAAGGCCCTTTTCCTGGCTTGCAGATGGCTGCCTTCTCATTATGTCCTCACATGGTATGGGGCATGAGGAGGAAGAGCTCTAGTGTTTTTTCCTCTCTTTATAAAGACAATAATCCTATCATGGAGGGAGATCTCACCTCGTGATTTTAATCTAAACCAAATTACCTCTCAAAGGCCCCACCTCCTAATACCATCATATTAGGTGTGGAAATTTATACACGTTCCATTTGTACACGTTCCATTTGTGTTGGTGGTAATAACGTAAACTACTCGGTCATTTTTAAGTTTGGCTACAAGTTGTTAGTTTTTATACCTGAAAGTATTGTCTACAATAGAAGGATTTTGCAGGTTGCAACAGGAAGAAAACAAGGGACAGGGTATATTGGGGGGAGTCTTTTCTCTGTCCAGTAGGAATAGATGGAGGCTCTTATTCTCAGTCACTACACACTAGGATGGTGTGGGAAGAAGGGCCTGAGCAAATGACAGCCCTCAGGGTCCTGAGTTGGAATTCATCAGTTGACTTCTGAGTGTCACTAAATCGAGAGGCTGGTAATTGATGTGGGCTGTCTGTTCCTGTTGTGACTGCTGCCTATTTCTCTTCCCAAAGGCTAATGAGGAAAGGCTGGCACTAAGAATCTTTTTATTTACTTACTAATTTAGAGACAAAGTCTTACTTTGTCACCCTTGGTAGAGTGCCATGGTGTCATATCTCACGACAACCTCAAACTCTTGGGCTTAAGCCTCTTCCCTCAGCCTCCTAAGTAGCTGGGACTACAGGCACCTGCCACAACACCCAGCTATTTTTTGTTGCAGTTGTCATTGTTGATTAGCTGGCCCGGTCTGGGTTTGAACCCACCAGCCTCTGTGTATATAGCTGGCGCCATAACCACTGTGCTACAGGCACTGGGCCAGGTGGTTTATATTCTTCTCTCTCATTTGTTCCTTATTTGAACCTATAGTTTTTGTTATGCCCAGGAGGTTGCCTTTCAAGAAGAAAAGGATTAAAATAATCCTCTATTCTATCCCTTAGCCAGAGAAATCTTTCTGAAGCATACCTCTTTAGCTTAAAACCCTTCTTCATTGGCTCCCAGGGGCTGTAGGATCAAGTTCAGATGTCTTCCAAAGCTTGCCAGATCTTTCATGATCAGGCTTCTCCTAATCTTCTGTAGCTTCATTTCATGTTCTTTTCCCCTCAGAATCTTTTTGTTTGTTGTTTGTTTGTGTCATCTGTATTCAAGTATTTCATCCCCCTCAGAATCTTTTCCTAAGCTTTACCTGTGCACCTGCAGGCCATGCTCTATGTCTCCCTTTGGAGCTTGCTTATGCAGTTTCCTCTGCCCAGAACACTCTTCTCCCACTTCCCTTATCCCTTAAAGCCTTCTCACTCCAAGTGAACTTCTAACTTATTCTTTAGGGCCCAGTTTAAGAATAACTTCCTGTGGGAGGAAGGCCTTCCTTTATGCATGTGTGCACGTACACATGCATACACCCTTCCTGTGCTTTCATAACACATTATAATTACCTTCGTCATAATGTCATACTATAATTTCCTGTTTACTTGGGTTTCTTACTTGTCTATGAACTAGTTGAACTTATTGGGAGCTTGAAGTCTTCCTTTTTTTTGTTTTTTTTTCCTTGTTGTTTGTTTTTGTTTTTGTTTAAGACAGAGTCTCACTCTGTCGCCCTTGGTAGAGTGCTGTGGCATCACAGCTCATAGCAACCTCAAACTCTTGGTCTTAAGTGTTTCTCTTGCCTCAGCCTCCCAAGTAGCTGGGACTAGAGGCACTGCCACAATGGCTGGCTAGTGAAAGAGACAGGTTCTCACTCTTGCTCAGGCTGGTCTTAAACCTATGAACTCAGGGAATCCACCCACCTTTGCCTCCCAGAGTGCTGGGATTACAGATGTGAGCCACCACACCTGGCCTGGAGCTTGAGGTCTTATTTATTAATTGTATCTCTAGTGCCTAGAACCTAGTTAAGTGTTCAGTATTTGTTGAATTAAATTAAACTATTTTTCCCCAAACATGTACTCAGGATATTGTTCAGGATTTATTTACTTACTTTTTTAAAAAATTAAATCATAGTTGTGTACGTTAATGCAGTTATGGGGTACAGCGTACTGGCTTTATATACAATCTGAAATATTTTCACCAAACTGGTTAATATAGCCTTCATGGCATTTTCTTAGTTATTGTGTTAAGACATTTATATTCTACGTTTAGAAAGATTCACATGTACCCTTGTAAGATGAACCATAGGTGTGGTCCCACCAATCACCCTCCCTCCGCCCATTCTCTCCCCTCCCCTCCTCTCCCTCTCCCCTTACCCCATAGTCTATAGAATCCCTCAGTAACAGAATGGAGCAGGCAGAAGAAAGGATCTATTTTCTTATTTTAAAGACAGAATCTCATTTTGTCACCCTGGGCAGAGTGCTGTGGTGTCACAGCTCACAGCAACCTCCAACTCTTGGGCTTAGGTGATTCTCTCGCCTCAGCCTCCCAAGTAGCTGGGACTGCAGGCTCCCACCACAGCACCAGGCTATTTTTTGTTGTTGTTGCAGTTTGGCTGGGGCCAGGTTCGAACCTGCTACCCTCAGTATATGGGGCCAGGGCCCTGCTCACTGAGCCACTGGCGCCACACAGATTTATTTATTTTTTGATACTGAGTCTCTGTTACCCAGGCTAGAATGCCATGATGTCAGCCTAGCTCATAGCAACCCCAGACTCTTAGGCTCAAGCTATCCTGATGCCTCAGCCTCTGGAGTAGCTGGGACTGTAGGCATCCACCACAGTTCCTGACTGATTTTTCTACTTTTAGTAGAGATGGGGGTCTCGCTCTTTCTCAGGCTAGTCTCAAACTCCTGACTACAAGCAGTCCTCCTGTCTTGGTCTCCCAGGGTGTTCGGATTACCATATCCACTCAGGATGTTGAAAGGGATGCCATGAAAAAGTGGCTCCAATGTTAAGTAGGGAAACACATTGTACATTTCCAAGAAGGAACATATACTTTACTGCACTGTACTGGATGGTAACGGTTCCCAAATACCAGTGTCCCCAACCCCAGAAATTTTAAATTTTGTGAATACCCCAGAATCTGTTGTTTAAAAATGCCCTCCAAGGCTCGATGCCTGTTGCTCAGTGGTTAGGGCGCCAGCCACATACACTGGGGCTGGCAGGTTCAAACCCAGCCTGAGCTTCCTAAAGAACAATGACAACTACAACCAAAGAATAGCAGGTCATTGTGGTGGGTGCCTGTAGTCCCAGCTACTTGGGAGGCTGAGGCAAGAGAATCACTTAAGCCAAAGAATTTAAGGTTGCTGTGAACTGTGACACCATAGCACTCTACCAAGGGTGACATAGTGAGACCTCTGTCTCAAAAAAAAAAAAAAATGCCCTCCAAGTTATTCTCATATGAGGCCAGATTTTTTGGGGGTGGGGGAGAGGCAGTTTTTGGCTGGGGCTGGGTTTGAATCCTCCACCTCCAGCATATGGGGCCGCGCCCTACTCCTTTGAGCCACAGGCACTGCCCATGAGGCCAGATTTTAAAACCACTACTATACAATGATTACAAAGATAGTTAAAATACGTAATGCATTTGTCATAGTGCCTAGCACATAGTATTTATGCTATATTACTGTTAACTACTGCTGCTGCTGTTGTTGTTATAGTTATAAATGACCATGGAACATATTTTTTTGGCATATTCGTTAACATTTCACAAAACCTATTTTGAGAAAGACTGAATTAAGCAAGTACTTGAGTGCCACTGATACGCTGATGACACCCGAATCTCTTATCTCCAGCTATGACTTGTCCTGACCTCAAGATTTGACTCTCTGGTTACCTACTGGATATTTTTATATGGATGCCCTGCACTTACCTCAGAAATATCTGAAAATCCCAAACCTGTACCTCTGTTCATATTTCCTATTGACATCACCATATCCTTGTCAGCCAAGCTAGCAATCTTGGGGTTTTGTTTGTTTGTTTGTTTTGGTGAGACAGTCTCACTTTGTCACCCCCAGTTGAGTACCCTGGTGTCATAGCTCATAACAACCCCAGACTCTTTTTTTTTTTTTTTTTTTTTGAGACAGAGCCTCAAGCTGTCCCCCTGGGTAGAGTGCCCTGGCACCACAGCTCACAGCAACCTCCAACTCCTGGGCTCAAGCGAGTCTCCTGCCTCAGCTTCCCAAGTAGCTGGGACTACAGGCGCCCGCCACAGTGCCCGGCCATTTTTGGTTGCAGCCATCGTTGTTTGGCGGGCCCGGGCTGGGGATTCGAACCCGCCACCTTAGGTGTATGTGGCTGGCGCCTTAGCCGCTTGAGCCACAGGCGCCGAGCCACAACCCCAGACTCTTAGGCTCAAGTGATTCTCTTACCTCAGCCTCCCAAGTAGCTGAGACTACAGGTGCCCGCCACAACCCGCCACAACGGCTATTTTTAGAGATGGCATTTCACTCTTGCTCAGGCTGGTCTTAAACTCCTGAGCTCAAGCAGTCCACCTACCTGGGCCTCCCAGAGTGCTAGGATTATACGCATGAGCCACTGCGCCAGTCCCCAAGCTAGCAATTTGAAATCAGATTTAGTTTCTCTTTTTTCCTCAGCCCTCAGATTCAGTCAATCACCAACTCCTATTTACCCCACATCAGACACGTCCCTCAAATCTATACATCCCTTTCTGAAATCAGTCATGCCCTTTCCATATGCTGCTGCTTTTACCTAACCCCTTGCTTTTCTGCCTGGGAAATTGCTGTCCATGGATAATGTCACTCTTCCACTTCCTTCCTCCTCCCACCCAGCTGCTACCAACCTATGAAAGCCTTTCCTAGCTAGCCTGAACAGAAGAATTTGTTCTCTCACTTGTGTCAGGGCACTTTGTATATAACTTTATTATAGCACTTATCACTTTGTACTTTGTGCTTACCTCTGTAGTCTCATCCTAATATCTTCTCCCACTAGCATGCAAGATATTTAAGAGCAGGTGCTGGCTCAGTGCCTATAGCTCAACGGCTAGAGTGTCGGCCACATACACTGGAGCTGGCGGGTTCGAATCCAGCCCGGGCCTGCCAAACAATGACAACTACAACCAAAAAAAATAGCTGGGCATTATGGCGGGCACCTATAGTCCTAGCTACTTGGGAGGCTGAGGCTAGAAAATCCCTTAAGCCCAAGAGTTTGAGGTTGCTGTGAGCTGTGATATCACGGCACTCTACTGAGGGTGACGTACTGAGACTCTGTCTCAAATAAATAAATAAGAGCAGATGCCATGTGTGAGTCATCCCCATATTTCTAGGCACTAATCCAATGCGTGGCACACAGTAGGGGTTCAGTAAAGGAGTGAATTTAAAGAAAGAGCATAATTCTTTTCTTTTTGCGCAGAGATTAGTACTGAAGAGCAGCTAAGACGCCTGCAAGAGGAGAAGCTTTGCAAAATCTGTATGGATAGAAATATTGCTGTGGCTTTTATTCCTTGTGGACATCTGGTCACTTGTAAACAGTGTGCTGAAGCCGTTGACAAATGTCCCATGTGCTACACAGTTATTACTTTCAAGCAAAAAATTTTTATGTCTTGATCTAACTCCATAGTAGGCATGTTATGTTCTTATTACCCTGATTGAATGTGTGATGTGAACCGACTTTAAGTAATCAGCCTTGAATTCCATTAGCATTTACTGCGGAGTAGGAAAAAAATGTAAATGGCAGTGTCTTAGTTGTCAATCTATGCTTTGGCTTTCTGGGCTTTGGGGGGTATTAGCTGTATAATTTATCCAATTTCCTTTACTGTTATTTAATTAAAACTCTAAAAAGCATTATGTTACACATATAACTGATGGCAACATGTAGTATACTGACTTAGTTGCTCAGTGTAAGTAAATTAATCATCTGAATTTTCTACTCTTATCAGATAGGCTTAACAAATGGAGCATTCTGTATAAATGTGGAGATGAGAGTTAATCTCCCCAATCACATAATTTGTTATGTGTGAAAAGGAATGAACCTTTCCACGCTGGTAGAAAGATATGGAGATTATTTTTAGATGTTTGTCTTTGTGTTTTAGGATTCTGTCCATTTTCTTTTACACTTGATCTTAGCCAAAAGGCCGAGAAGCGATGTGTCCATTTTCTTTTAAAATTATAAATGTATACTTGTATGAATGATTTTTAAAAGTAATTTTGCCATTTTTGAAAGGGTATTTAATGATAGAATACCATCTAGCCAACATGTATTGACATGAAATGATATCAAAGATATATAAAATGTAAGTGGCAAAACACTATGTATAGTATGAGCCAAATCAAGGTGTGTATGTTTTGTATATGTATAAAACAGGGGATTTGGAAATATTTACACCAAACTGTTAAATGTGGTTTCTCTTGTGGGGGGTAGGGGGTGGGTCCCAGAAGGAGTTTGCAGGGGCCTTTCACTTTCTTTTTCTTTTTTTTTTTTTTTTGTATTTTGTTCTGTTTCGATTGTTTATAAGTACGTATTACTTTTGTAATCAGAATATTTAGAAAGTATTTTACTGATTTAAAGGCTTAGGCATGTTCAAACGCCTGCAAAACTACTTATTGCTCAGCTTTAGTTTTTCTAATCCAAGAAGGCAGGGCAGTTAACCTTTTTGGTGCCAATGTGAAATTTAAATGTTTTTATGTTTTTCCTGCTTTAAGGATGAGAAATATTTCTGAGTGGTAGTTTTCTGACAGGTAGACCATGTCTTCTTATCTTGTTTCAAAATAAATATTTCTGATTTTGTAAAATGAAATATAAAATATGTCTCAGATCTTCCAATTAATTAGTAAGGATTCATCCTTAATCCTTGCTAGTTTAAGCCTGCCTAAGTCACTTTACTAAAAGATCTTTGTTAACCCAGTATTTTAAACATCTGTCAGCTTATGTAGGTGAAAGTAGAAGCATGTTTGTACACTGCTTGTAGTTATAGTGACAGCTTTCCATGTTGAGATTCTCATATCATCCTGTATCTTAAAGTTTCATGTGCGTTTGAACTGTTAGGATGATGAAGATGTATATAGGACAAAATGTTAAGTCTTTCCTCTACCTAAACTGGTTTTCTTGACTAGTCATAGTAGTAGATATTTCTGAAGTGTTCTCTCAAAATCCTTAAAACCTCTTGAGAATCATAAAATATTGGCAAGAAAAGAATAGTTTAAATACTTTTAAAAACATTTGAATAAGAGTCAATATGGGTACAAAATGTAAGTTTGAAAATGATTTATAGAACACCCAGAGTTTGCAAGATTCTCTTAACAGATCCATCTATTGTAGAGGTGAGTGAGGCATCTGCAGAGAAAAGTTTGGTAGTGAAACCATTTTTTTGGTTGTAAGTAATGACTACCCTGTTGCTGTTTTATTATGTAAATGCTCAGACTTTGCACCATCTTCCACTTAGGTTTGGTTATGCAGTCATTAAGTTTAATTTGATTTGTATAATCTAAATCTTTTTGTTTGTTTGTTTGAGACAGACTCTCACTACGTCACCCTGGTAGAGTGCTATGGCGTCATAGCTCACAGTAACCTCAAACTTTTGTGCTCAAGCGATTCTCTTGCCTCAGCCTCCCAAGTAGCTGGTACTACAGGCACTCACCACAATGCCCACTTATTTTTAGAGATGGGGTCTCACTGTTGCCCAGGCTGGTCTCGAACCCGTGAATTTAGGCAGTCCACCCACCTTGGCCTCCCAGAGTGCTAGCATGACAAGCGTGAGCCACTGCCCCCAGCCTTGATCTAAATCTTTAAATTTAAAAGCATCCTACAAGGAAAGAGAAGTGTTAAACATTCTAAGATATGTTTTCCAAGACACTTCACTTAGGTAGTTCACTCTAGTTGTTAGCCAGGGAGTCAAGGACTGAATTATTTTAACATAAGGCTTTTCCTGTTCTGGGAACCTTAGTTCATTAAAATTCTTCCTTTAAGGTTTGTGTGTTTCGAGTTAAGCAAGACTTTTTTCTCCCTCCGCGAGTTGTGAAATTTAATACATGAAGCTGATGTGGCTAACAAGTTTATTTTAAGAATTGTTTAGAAATGCTGCTGCTTTGGGTTTTTTAAATCGCTCAACACTCCAACTTCTAATCAAATTTTTGAAGACTTACCAGTGTTATGTTCACACTATAAAAAACACTGAATCCTTTTCATCTAATCATGTAAAAATCGATCATTTGCAAAGTGAAAAATTATACCCAGATTCAAATGAGTTCCCCCTCCCCAATAGTGCTCAGTATGTACATGTAGACATTCCTTTTCTGTATAAAGTTCACTGTAAGATTTCAAGTGACCACCTATTTCACTGTACTTTAGTCATGCCAACATTCAAATTGCTTTGTAATAGTTATCGTTATTTGTAATAATTTAGGGTGCTGATCAAAAGCCTTGTCTTATCTTTTGAGAAATGACTTTAGCATTTATAAAGTAAATTCCAGCTTATTAATTAATGGCTCTGTATTTTTCCTTTCCTGCTAGAATTGGTTTCTTCCCCCTCCCATTGGTTGGGGGCTGAGAGTGGGGGTAGTGAGTATATACATGTATAGTGTGATTTGGCCCTACGTTTTATTGTATGTTGTTTTTGTTCTTATGTTACTTACATTTTGGTGGTTTTTTCTTCTGTTTTCATTCTAGTGGATAAAATTTGTATTTTGAACTCTGTTTGAAGACTACCACCTCAGCATTAGTTGCATATGTTGTACCCTTAACTCAAATCATTGTTTTATTTCCTGATTTCCCAGGTGTTGAATGAGGAAAGTGTGAAAAGGGTAGAAGAAATGGGATAGGTTTCATTTCATTAGAGAAATAAGAAAATAGGAAGGAACATTTGATGTTGCCAAATCCATTTTTTTTTTTTTTTTTTTTTTGAGACAGAGCCTCAAGCTGTCCCCCTGGGCAGAGTGCCGTGGCATTACAGCTCACAGCAACCTCCAACTCCTGGGCTCAAGCGAGTCTCCTGCCTCCGCCTCCCAAGTAGCTGGGACCACAGGCGCCCGCCACAACGCCCGGCCATTTTTTGGTTGCAGCCGTCATTGTTGTTTGGCGGGTCGGGCTGGGTATTCGAACCCGCCACCTTAGGTGTACGTGGCTGGCGCCTTAGCCAGTTGAGCCACAGGCGCCGAGCCAAATCCATTTTTTTTTAAGTAGCAACTTCTTCATCTGTAAGAAGAGAATATCTATCTTACAAGGTTATGAGAGTTTAGGAGATCATGTATTTAAAGCTCTGGCTATAAATGTTAATTTCCATTTTGACACCTTCTGATCCCTCCATGGGTTTGCCTTGACCTAGAAATTTGAGCTAAAATTTAGAAAAATACAGGCAGTACCTGTGGCTCAGTGACTAGGGTGTTGGCCCCCATATACCGAGGGTGGTGGGTTCAAACCCGGCCCCAGCCAAACTGCAACAAAAAAATAGCAGGGCGTTCTGGCGGGTGCCTGTAGTCACTGCTACTCAGGAGGCTGAGGCAAGAGAATCGCCTAAGCCCAAACACTGGAGGTTGCTGTGAGCTGTGATGCCACATCACTCTACTGAGGGCGACAAAGTGAAAAATAAAATAAAATTTAGAAAAATTCTCACGTGATAACTCTTTCAGTGACTGTTATTCATCTTAGTGTTTCTCATAGTTAAGATATAAATTACAATTAATAAATGGGTCAAACCCTCAAAAATACTTAAATTATTTTTTGAAAAAATCTGAAAGAATTATTTTCAAATTTGAACTTTCCTAATAGAAACAATTGGCTTATTCCCCTTAATCATCAGTTTCAATTACTCTGTAATAATCACTTTCAGTATACTTAACGCAATGTTTCTTTCTCCTCATAATAGAATTATAGAATGTCAGAGTTGGAAATGACCTTAGAGAGTATCTAATTCATCCCCTCATTTTACAGTTCAGGCAACTGTGACTCAAAAGTGAGGTAATTTATTTGTTCAAAGATATATCTGATTAGTGGCAGAGCCTTGACTAGGACATAGTCTGAAGGTGAAAAACTTCACCAAGCTACCTCTCTAGAAGATATCTCACGTTTATTTTCAACTATTCTTTCCACTATGCCATAACTGTCACTACATATTAAATGACACTTTATAACTAATAGGACAATCTTAAATACATATACAGCCAGCTCTTCAAGTTTTGCATCTGAGGATCCAACCAACCAAGGATTGAAGATGTTTGGGGAAAAAATAATTTAAAAAGATACAACAATAAAGAATAATAAAAGTTAGAAAGTAACAATATAACTGTCTACATAGCATTTACATTGTTATTAGGCATTATAAATAAACTAAGTATGATTTAAAGTGTAAAGGAAGGCCTGGTGTGTTGGCTCACACCTGTGATCCTTAACACTCTGGGAGGCTGAGGTGGGTGGATTGCTTGAGCTCATGGGTTCAAGACCAGCCTGAGCAAGAGCGAGACCCCATCTCTAAAAATCCCAGGAGTTTAGTATATCGCTAGGGAGTCATAGACACAGCCCCACACAGATACTAAGGGGCAACTGTTATTATCTTCAAATTGGACAATTGGACAATATGACATTAATGTTTGGGTGGTAAGATTGTATTTTGAAGTCTAGAGTTTGAAGATACGCATATAGATTTTTGGCATTTATTATTATTATGTATCATTAATGTAACATTTTAAATTACTATATATTTTACCATTTCATCTATACTTAGTACCAAATTTGTGTTTTTTATTTGATGTAACAGGCTTTAATGTAATGTCTGTTAGATTTTGCATTTTTTCATTACTATTATACGTTAATCTGACAGAATATTATGTCATTGTATTAGTATTGTGAATAATCGTGACACGTTTCGAGACAGAGTACTATATTTGTGAATATAATTTTATGGGTTTTTTTCATTTAGTAGGAACTTTTCCATCAGTATGGAAACTAAGAAAATTGCTTTCTGCTATCTGATCATTCATTGTAGATTAAAGCTTATTTTTCTGTGAATAAAACTTATTCAATAAAGTACTATTCTTTAAAATTACATTTCATTA